CCCCCCCCCCCCCCCCCCCCCCCCCCCCCCCCCCCCCCCCCCCCCCCCCCCCCCCCCCCCCCCCCCCCCCCCCCCCCCCCCCCCCCCCCCCCCCCCTTAAGATTAGGCAAAACTTTTATATAGCGGTGTAGAGGAGATTCTGCTCTATCAAAACCATGCAAAGATTATTAAGATCTATCTCACCACTTGTCATCAATTAGAGTAAGAATAAACTATAATTTCAATTCATCTTTTTTCGTGTCTGATTTCTAAATAAAATTCTTGCCATTCTGAAATCTTCGACATTCTAAAATTTGGGAATGCCTGACAGCCGAAATTCTAAAATTCTAGACAATCTGAGATAAACAGTGTATATAAAAGTATAGACAGAATAAGTTTTCGCTGCGAGGGCATTATTTTCAAGAATAAGTTTTTTCGCTTCCCTAGACAGCTCTCTTAGGGAAATTGTTTGAAGCAGGATGATTTTACGCATGATGCAGAGCAATTAAAGATAAGAATAATCTAAAACTATTTTGGTTTAAAACTTTTCCTCAGAGTTCGCAATGCTATACATATTTTTTTGTGGGTATTTGTAAAAGATGCCATCACCCACCAACATTCCCCAAATTGTCTGACACCATCCTGAATGGATAGAGCGGGCCCTGCACCAGAGCCCTGCAGGTTGCCACCTCTTGACAACCTATAACCTAAGCTATAAAAAATTTGGCAACCTAATCCTAACCTAACCTATGGAGTCGACAACCTAACCCTAACCAGCTTACAGTCCCTTTTGCAAAATAAGGACTCTACAAAAGAATTTAAGCTGTATCTCACCTGAGGGAGAAGTTCACAAGCTACAAGACTGGCTAGCTTAAGAGTTTTAGAATCCAATTCATTCATTAGAACTTTTTTATAACAGTCAAATGCTCAAAAATTTAGCGAAAACATTTTCACAATACCTTGAATCAAATTTCGCACGAAAGAAGCATTTTCACAGGAAAAGTGCGGGTACGAAAGTTGTTCAGAATCAGATTCCCTGGAATATGAACGAAGGATTTTTCAAAATTTGTTAAACCGAACTTTTAAACTAATTTTAAAACTTTAAAAACCGTATTTTTCAATTTAGAAATCCAATTTAATGAACTTTGAAAAATAATTTCGGAAATCTGATTCTAAACAACTTTCGTTTCCCGCACTTTTCCCTGAAAATGCTTCCTTCATCCGAAGTTTGCTTCAAGGTGTTTTTAAAAATACTTCTTGCTTCAAAATGAGATCGATTTGAGATCGATGAAATCGGATTTTCTATTTTTAGCCGAGAAAGTTTTTGAAAAATAAATTTCTAAACATATGGTTTTGTAGAAAATTTAATTCTCTATAAAATGGCGTATTGGGTTTTGAGCTTCCGTGCGTTAGAGAATTTGTACATATTTGTACATTTGCCGACTTAATTTACAGTTTTTGACCCTCTAACCCGAGGTAGCGACTTTATTCTTGCGTATATCGGCTGACTGTAGCGCGAATAATTATATGTATAAATATCAAAATCTTCTGATCATATTAGGTCCCTCAAAAACACTCGACAAAAATAGTGCGTAACACCGTTACGTTTATGTTTTGATGTTGGAAAAAAATTTTCTTAACCATCGGATAGTCCGTTCTGTGCTCTACAATTTCTGTGCTAAAAACTTTTTATTATGACCTTTACCTTTGTCGGAATTCAAGTTTTTGTTGAAAACTTCGAAAAAAAATCTTTTTTCGTAACGCCGTTACGGCCTACAAAAACCGTTCTCAAAATTCGAGACTTCATCCAAAAAATTTCATCTTATACCATAAATGAGGGTCGACGAGCTGCATCGAATGGCGTTTAAATGAGCTTTTTAACTATTTTAGTTTCCGAGATAATTTCATTTTAGTGCGTCCAAAACGTAACACCGTTACGTTTGGACAAGCTCATAAATGTTACCATTGAAGGCTATGTAAAAGTTTGTGCTATGTGAAAAAATATTCTGAAGGTATAACAATTTCTTCTCAAAGACTAGGTCGTCATTAAACCTGGCACAAACTTCAGGTTATTTTCCTTTAACAATAAACTAAAAAGGGATGTGATACCTGTACCGTGATTCTAAATAAATACCCATTCTAAAATTCAGGAATGCCTGACATGTTGAAATTCTAAAATTCTCGACATTCTGAGATATATGTCAGACTAGTTTACTAATACTACACTGTTCTACCTTTCAATGAAATGAAAGGGATTCCCAACTTTTGAGGCTACTGTTTTTTTTTATTCTTTCATTAAAATAAAGAGTTCCATAGTCACACTGTCACTGGCTTTTTCCCCACACTTTTTTGTTATTATACAACTCATATAGTTTTATTTATACAGGAAAAATTGAAGTGGCATTACACAAAAGCAGAGCCTTGATGAAATGTTTTTAAAGTTATAAATACATTCATAACTTAACAATGAGAAACAAAGAAATAATCAACAGTTTTTCTTTCTTTTCTGCCTATGTTTGACTTGAGTAAGAAAAAGAGTTTACGTATAAAAGGATAAAATATAATAATAAAAATTCCCTTTTGAAAAAACGAAATTGAAATGCTTTATTTTGTTGTAGAATAATCAGTACTAGTGTTGACTTTTTTGTTATTTTATTTTCAATATTTATACAATGACACATGTCATTTTTGTTCTTATTGGTTATTATTTTACTAAAATAATTTAACATTATTCTTTTATATTTCACATTTCTTCTTTAATAGAATTTGAAATTATTTCTTAAACTTTATCATGTTATGTGATGAATGTAAAACAAATTCGTATGACTTTACTTGTAAATGTTTAAAAAAGCTGTGTGTATCATGTTCAACAAAGCATATACAATTAATTGAAAAACAATTTTCTGACATATATAATAATGATATTAAATCAAAAATTGAGCAAATAAATGATATATGTCATCAAAATAATTCTATTGAACAACAACATCAAATTATTCATGATTGGAAATCCAAACAAATTCAATTAATTAATGATATAAGTAATGAAGCATTAAATAATTTAAAAAAAACTCAACAATTATTATCAACAATAAATATTGATGATTTAGAAAAAAATTTTCGTATAATTCGTCATGAACAATTAGATGAAATAAATGAATTTAAACAAAATTTATGTAATAAATATACTGCCCTATCAGAATTATCATCTATAATTAAATATAATACATTAAATGATTTATTAAAAAATGCATTGAATTTAATTTCATTAGACAATGACAATAATAATAATAATAATAATGAAGAAGAAAATTTTACTTCATTTGTAGATAAATCGAATATTATTTATCGCATTCCACGTGCACATGCTGATTGTTATGGTGCCATAGCCTGTCATAATAACGAATTAGTTTATTATGATTTTGATAGAAAAACTATTATTGTTATAAAAACAATTTATAAAACACAATCATTTGAATATAAATGGCCTTATGAACAACGTATTACAGATATGGATTATTCATCAATATTACAATTATATTTAATATCAACGGGTAGAGGTACATGTGAATTATATTCATTTGATTCAGATACAGGAAATATTAATATATGGATGACATTTCAATTAAGGCAAAGAAAAATGCAAGTATTAAAACGTTTTTATTGTTCATTAGATAGTATTTTTATTGTTTTTTGGGATAAACGTGGTGATTATAAAAAACAATGTTGTGATACATTATTATTAATTGATTATAATAAAAAAGAAATTGAATATAAAACAATCAAAGATTTAATAAATATTGATGGTGAAATAGTAGATGTTGCTTGTGATGATAATTCAAATGTTATATCATTAGCATATCGTTCGACTATCGAAAATAACAGGGTAATTGGTGTTTATTTGTTTACTAAAGAATGGAATGTGATAAATGTTGTTCAATTAGATGCAACTAATAATTCTGATTGTTGGTTTACACCACGCATCAGTTGGTCGTCTGTTTTAAATGTTTTTGTTTTTGTTGAATATACATCTGCTACTTTATTTATTCTTAATCGAAATGGTATAATAAAAGGTAAATCAACATTCGAAGATCAAAATGATGCCACTCAACCACTTAATATATGTTTATCAAATGATTGGATAGCTCTGTATTATCAATTATCAATCAATATTCATAGGATCAATAAACTGTTGACATAAAGTTAAAATTTGTACATGTTTTCTTCTTGTTCAAAGAAAAAACGTATATAATTCCCTTCACATGAGAGAGTTACAACCTTTTTATTTTTGTCCTAATGCCTCATATATGTTTTAGAGTAGTCCATGGAAAACTTTTATCTGACCGTGTCTAACAGGAAAACAACTGTTTTTGATATTGTGTTTAAAGAGATTTTTAGATAACTTGTTCACTAATACGGACAGCTTTAAAGTTTTGCTGAAACAAATTACAAAATTCGCTAGGTCTTATAATTTTGAAATATTCTGTATTTATATAGATAGATGTATATGTTGGACCTATTTACACAACTGGTCCGTTCGCCAGCTGCCCTGTCGGTATGAATTAAGTCGCAGTTTCACAGTGGACACTTTTCCATAAAGTAGGCGGATATCTATTGTTTTTTGCATAATCTTGTCTTATCATGTGCCAGATATGAATAGAAGTAAAAAAGGGTCGACTTCGAAAAGACTTCTGTTTTTTCGATGACGAATCTCCGACTACCCTTGCCCTGAATTCTTGTCAGCAAAAGCGTTATTTGTAAACTCACAAATTATACATCATGTGATGCAGTTTTTCATGCTAATTCCAAATATTACCTTATTTTCCAACACAAGTGCTCCTATGTTGAGAAAATCGCAAAATATCTCAAAAACCGAAGGGAAATCTGTATCGAGGAGAAAAACTGAAAGTAAACCTGGTTTAATAGTTAGAGAACTACCGTGAATAAAAGCCGCGACAGCCATATACTATTCAGTATATAAATGGCTGACGGCGTACTTTTTAAAAGGACTGATGTGTTTGAATTCGGGGCACGTTAAATTCTGCATTTGGAATCTGATTTTGTGTGCAGCACGGTATCTCATTGATCATTCTACAATAGGTCAAAATCACTGTACCCGGTGGGTATCTTGCCGATAAGTCTAACAAATTTAGGATTTGAAAGAAGACGTTATACCGCATTGTGTAGCCCTGCACCTTTCTATAGACAAACTATGCCTAATTTCTGTCTGCAGAATCAACGGCGTAACCAGGATTTTTAGGCTGTTGGGCCGCGCTCCATAGAGTAAAAACACTTGGTGGGCCTAGGTGGACTGAACGCATCCTGTTTGTGCAGGAAATCTTTCCGCCTGTTGTCAGTTCTGCCGTCATTTGCCGTGCTGCTCGTTACCATGGCTATGGGCTGTTCTCAATACCGCATATTCTGTGCGATAGTGGATGCAGATCGAAGTTTGAACTGTGGTAGTCTGATCATCAGACATGCACAGAAGTAAAGAATAAGCACATGCAATAGTGTATTCTTTTCAGTTTGGGACCTCTTTTCAGAAAAACTTTTATAACTTCAGAGTGAAAAGGACTTGAAACGAAAAAACTATAAGGTACAACTAACTTTTGATGGTGAATCAAACTGGGTAGCTTTTATCGAAGTATAAGTGTATTTTCCTCGGTTCCCGGACCATTTGACTAATGCTTGAGTAACGCATACGATGTCATTTTCATCAAGATTACGATGTTCACTTAATTCAGCTATTTAAACAACTCAATCGCTAACATTACTGACAAATAACAAACCTGCATTAAGATGTTGCATACTTAAAACTGAAATTGGATATTCAGATGCCTGGCGCTGCCTTGAAACATTGACACTAGACGCACATATTGACTCAGTGGACATCACACTGTGTGTGGGTTCACGAAAGCCTTATATCCCGGATACCAAAACGAGATCCTGCAAGTATCTTCTGGCGTTTGTAAATCAGTTGATTCTTATACAATCTCGTCTTCGAACCTCTCAGTTTATTTTAAATTTTTATTAGGAAAAAGAAATAAGCGCCCAAGACACGAGAGCACACAAACAAGTTTTATGATGAGCTAGAGTAGAAATGGAGGAGAGAAAGAGAAAGAAAGGCAGGCAACAGCTTAACAAGGATACATGAAAGGTAAATGATCAATTGATGTTCGTGATTTCTGCAACGACGTTCGTAATTCTGACCTGTGTTTCCTCTGTATTTGGGCATTCTCATCTCGAATCCGTGGCACCTTGGAAGAAGGCTGAGATGACTTGTGGCATGAGAGATAGCGCATCCGAGCCTGTGTTCATCAAAATGACGTCATGATCGTCTACAATTAAACAGACTTGTCTAATTCTACGTACAGTATTAGTTAGCATTGAAAATGCATAGTATTCATTAGTAAGTCCACACTGTCTTACTTTTCTCGTCACTGTATGGTTTGTATGTGTATTTGCGATTGCCGTCAAAATCCACCTTGCTTAGTTTCACCTTCACATGTCGGTCAAATGGAAGGCCAAGTTTGAGTCGAATATCGGCCACATTCTGCTCGTATTGATGAATTAAATCTAAGCAACATCCATCGGGATAAACGGCTCGCATCAATGCCCACGCTTTTTCGGTATGTACAAGCGCTTCCGTATATTGTTCATTAGCGCCAAATGTCAAACCAAGACAAGAGTGTATGTGTGCCATGGTAGCAGGATGGGTAGACGGATCCTTCTGCCCTAGACGAAGCTCCAACGCTTGTAACAGTAGCGGTAACGCTTCGCTAGGCAGATGTTGATTTCGATAAATTTCACCCTTAGCAAAGAAGGTCGGCATATTCCACGTCTTCAGAAGGACAAAGGTTGAGTGCCAATTCGACCGTTTCAAATGCTTGTTTATGACGACGCTGGCGCGTATAGACAAGCGTAAGGCCTTTCAAAAAATGTACATGTCGTTTTACATTTGCCGATTGTTCATTTCTTCGAAGTGCCTCAGTATACGATTCTACGGCTTTTTCATCGTTATTCATGAAACGATGGCAGTGTCCAATATTTCCAAGAAGATCGATTGCCTGTTCATCTTGAATTCTGTCGTTTGAACATTCGCCGACAGCACTCTCGTAATATCGTAAGGCTCGTAAGAAATGTCCCCGTCGGAAAGCCATGTCGGCTACATTACCCCTAACTGAACTTTGTTCCCCAAGGCGTATAAATTGATTCATGATCGGCCTGCCGCCAACAAGTCGTTCATTTCGATCGACTATTCTATTGAGTTCTTGTAGCACTAGAGGGACTTGCTTATCAATGGTTTCCCTGCTATCTTCTTCGTCTAACAGACTTTCGGTTCGCTCAAAATCAACTGGAATTCGTTGCTGGCCGTATCCGCTCAAAAGAAGGTCGATTGGAACGAAGCCCGGTGTGTTTGTGGTTCCACCTTGGATTGTTGATGTTACTTTGAATGAAGGCGATACCTTTTTTAAATTTTCTCATACTTTTTTTTCGTAAAGCGTAAAATGAAGTTAACATGCAAAGCGATTGTTGCATAGTGACTAGGCATACAATACAACGGTAAAGGTTACCATCTTTTTACCGTTTTACCGGTACCCCTTTATCGGTTTTACCCTTATCGCTTTACCGATCTTATCGGTATTAGCGTCATCGGCTGAACGTTCGTTATGAATGCATAAGAAAATTTATTCGAAGGTGAGATTATATAGAGTGTATTGATGTCGATATTTTAACGGTATTGATTCCTTCTTTGGCGTTTCTTTCTATGAGAGAACCAGCCGACTTTTTTCTCCTGTTTCTTGCAAGCTTCTTCTCTACCGACATTTCAAAGAAGAATCCTGTTAGAGTGGCCGGTCCCAATTAGAACACGGGAATTTTAGTGTGGAGTATTTTTTTAATCTTTTAAAAGCAAACATGTAGAAATGTTCCTTTATCACGAAGAACACGTTCTGTGTATTAGTTTTGGATTGTAAACTCTTCCTTTTAAACTTGTATTAACAAAAATTATTTTACAAAATTTTGTTAATAAAAATTTCAAAGGAAGAGTTTAGAATCCAAAACAAATTCAATGTCCTTCACATTCAATGTCCTATCACACAGGTTCTGTGTATGACCGGTCATTCAGTTTTCTCTATGACACATATGAAGGTGGAAACTTAATCTGCTTTTAATAAAACTAGTATTACGCGATTCTTCGTGATGAAGGAGCGTTTCTACATATTTGCTTTTAAAAAATTAAAAAAATACTCCACACTTAAGTTCCTGTGTTCTAACTGCGGCCGATCACTCTACTCTAACAGGATTCTTGTCTGTAATGTCAAGAGAAGAAGCTCGCACGAAACACGACAAGAAAGTCGACCAGTGCTCGCATATAAATTTTCTTATATTGTTTCTTTTTTCACTATGTGCAGTGACAGACTGTGCATATCATATCTGAATGCTGGGAAAGGAATGAAAACACCATTTCTGCTCTACTCTATTGACTCTTTAAGCCGATAAAATATAGAAAGAAAAGTCAAAGAAGATCAAAACCGTTACAATATGGACATCAATACACTCTACATAATCTCACTTTCCAATAAATTTTCTTATGATTTGGCAATTCATTTCTATTCACTGAAGAGAGTAGTCGGGAGTCTGGCACCCACCTTATTGGTCTATAATCTGTCAATTCATCTCTCGTCATTGAAGAGAGCAGCAGGGAGCTTGGCGCCCAGTAATTCGTCTAAAATTTGGCAATTCATCTACATTCATTCAAGAGAGTAGTCGGGAGGTTGTCATCCAATTTATTGGTCTATAATCTGGAAATTCATCTCGATTCATTCAAGAGAGTAGTAGTACTGAGCTTCGCTCCCAGTTTATTCCTCTCTAATTTGGCAATTCATCTACATTCATTCAAGAGGGCAGTAGTATTGAGCTTGGCACCCGCTTTATTCGTCTATAATTTGGCAATTCATCCACACTCACTCAAGAGAGTAGTCGGGAGCTTGGCACCGACTTTATTGATCTACAATCTGGCAATTCGTCTCTATTCACTGAAGAGAGTAGTAGGGAGCTTGGCACCCAGTTTCTTCGCCTATAATTTGGCAATTCATAAACATTCACTCAAGAGAGTAGTCGCGAATCTGGCACGCAATTTAATGGTCTATAATCTGTCAATTCATCTCTAGTCATTGAAGAGGGTAGCAGAGAGCTTGGCACCCAGTTATTCGTCTATAATTCGGCAATTCATCTCTATTCACTCAAGAGAGTAGTCGGGAGCTTGTCATCCAATTTACTGGTCTATAATCTGTCAATTCATCTCTATTCATTCAAGAAAGTAGTAGGGAGCCTGGCACCCAGTTTATTAGTCTATAATCTGGCAATTCATCCACATTCACTCAAGAGAGTAGCCGGGAGCTTGGCACCTATAATCTGTACATATAGTCTATAATCCGTCAATTGATCTCTATTCGTTCAAGAGAGTAGTAGTATTGAGCCTGGCACCCAGTTTATTTGTCTATAATTTGGCAATTCATCCACATTCACTAAAGAGAGTAGTGGGGAGCTTGGCACCCAGTTTATTCCTCTATAATCTGGCAATTCATCCACATTCACTCAAGAGAGTAGTAGGGAGCTTCGCACCCAGTTTATTCCTCTCTAATTTGGCAATTCATCAACATTCACTCAAGAGAGTAGTAGGGAGCTAGGCACCCACTTTATTCCACTAT